GTATTTCATTCATTTACCTGTTTATCGAGCCCAGTAACATGTCTTTGACTAAAGCTTCATCTAGAGACACATCCCGTCTTGATTGGAACCCCTCAGGAGATGGAGAATCCACCACTTGCCTTGATAGTTTGTTCTGATGGTTTTCTTCCAATATTGTTGCCTTACAACGAATTTGAACGTGTCTGGTTTAAATTTCCGGCCATTGGTTCTTGTTCTTCTGCCTTTTCTGCTAGATTAAATAACTTTTTAATAACCGACATTTTCTCCCCAGGAAGGTATTCATACACTAGTCAAGTCACTTCCGCAGTTTGATCTGAACTGAACCGATATAGCTCCTTAAATCTCTCATTTACAGCTGTTGAATCATCATTGAGGCTCTTCTATGAGCCCTTTTCAATTTTTCAAACCACAAAGTTGTGAAACGGGTGCAAAAAAATCTAGAGATTTTAATAAATATTGGGTTGCTTTTATTTGCTTTCTGGTTGGTGAGCCAGGAAGTGAAAGGGAGTGTGTGGGGATTGTGTTTTCAAGCTTTTCTTTGCAGCCAGTGGGGATAGACACTTCCTTTTTTGATTAAATGAAAGCTGAAATTCCCTGGTCATTGCACGAGCTGTGGATTTAAGGAAAAACAGCAAATACCATAATAAATATAGCCAAGGTTGGCCACCCCTCACGTGTTTGAATGAGGGACTAAGAGGAGACATATTCTATCCTTGGGAGAGAAATTAGCTTCATCTCACATCTCTGTCCCTTCCAGCCTACCCTGCCCATGCACCTACTGTCTCAGCCACTGTCTCCTGCCCGGACCCAGAGGAAACTCCAGGGAAGAGAGATTCCCACACGTTCCTCTGTGACGTCACAGGATTCTTCCCAGCAGACATCAGACTCCGCTGGGAGCACAACGGCTCCCTAGTCCCCGCCTCCCAGTACAGCAATGGCCCCGTTTTCAGATCTGGCCAGGCCTACTCTGCTCAGAGCATCTTGAGAGTCCCCAGGTCTAAGGGGGAAGGAGAAGCGGGGCCTCAGTATGTCTGCCTGGTGTGGCACATGACGCTGAATGAAACCTTGAAGGTCAAGGTGAAGCCACAGAATTGTGAGTTGAAGCTTCCAAAGGGCGACGAGAGGGTTGTTTATCCCAATACGGTTAAGGCCCCCCATTACGCTCTGGGGCTAGTGAGGGAGCTAGCACCAGTTCAGGCTTCAATGCTGGGGTTTCCAAAGGGATTCACGCTCTCAACTCCCACATCGACTTGCAGTGAGAGTTGTGGTCTCAACCCCTGGGAGACCAGCAGCCAGAATATCACTGGGGTGAAATATAAATGGCACCTTCTGCCTGTGTAGGGGGGAGGGGTTTAGGGGATGCGAGTTCTATCCTGAGCTCTGGATTCAGGATCTAGTACTTCCAGCAGGCGGCTGGGAGCCAGGACTCCTGGCTTCTATCCCCAGCTCTGGGAGGGGAGTGGGGCTAGTGGTTAGAGCATGGGGAAAGGGAGTCAGGAATTACCATGGACAGGTCGTTTCTCCTCTCTGTGTCCCCGTTGCCAACTCTGTCCTCTTCGTTGAGCTCATGAATTTCAGGCTGGAAGGACCCTGAGTTGAGCAAACAAGGCAGGTCTGTCCCCTCCCAGGTTTTCCACAATGGGGCTTTCTCCTATCGTAGCCAGAGACTTTCAGTTCTGCCCATGGGACCCAGAGACCCAAATAATCATAATGGGACCCAAGAATCCCAATCCCTGGGTGTGTTGGAAAACTTCATCCGTTGTTCCCGACGCCCCGTGAGATGAGGGTCCTGCCCCTTCCATCAGGGAACCCAGTGCCCTATTTCCCATCCCAATGACCCTCGTCCCTGTCCCAAAACAGCCCCTGGGATTTGCACCCCTCAGACAGAGGCAATTAGTTATCAGCTGGTGTCATCTCAGCCCTCAACGCTGCCTCCTGCCCCCAACCAGGTGGTGGCAACTGTAATCGACACCCTCTGGAGGTCTTTCTCCTTCCCCCTTCCCTGGAGGACCTCTACATAGCACAGAACGCCACCATCACTTGTTTGGTGAGTGGCATGGAGACCCCTGGCAGCCTGGAGGTCTCCTGGAGCCGGGGTATCGGGGGCCCGTTGGACGTGGTCTACAGGGAGCCGGTGCTGCAGGAAAATGGCACTTACAGTGCAACCAGCATCCTGCGGGTGTGCGTGGAGGAGTGGCAGGCGGGGGAGGAGTTCACCTGCACCGTGAAACACCGAGACATCCCGTCGGCCATTGTCAAGACCATCCACAAGATTCATGGTAAGAAACCTGCCTTTCCCCTGTAGGGGCCCCAGCTCCAATCTGGCTGGCTCATGGTGTGGGGACTGGGACATGGGTCCTTCTGTCTCTAGGGGAGCTAGCTGTGATCTGGCTTCAGGTCTTTGGACTGGGCATTACACATTTGTGGGTGGGAGGAAATGTGCAAATTTATGAGAGAGAAGGGGACGTAGAGTCAGGACTCCTGGTTTCTTTTTCCAGATCTGGGATCAGAGTGTGTGTGGGGGTCTAGTGGTTTATAGTAGGGGGGTTGTGTGGGGGTTGGCAGCCGGGACTCCTGATTCTCCTCGCTCACCATTAACCCTTTGGTGTTTCCTTGTGGCAGAAGTCTCTCCTCGTAACCCTTCTGTCTACATCTCCCCTCCTCACGCTGAGGAGCTGTCTCTCCGGGAATCAGCCACCATCACCTGCCTGGCCTCCGGTTTCTGGCCCAGAGACATCCTGGTGACATGGACCCAGCAGGACCGGCCCGTGCCCCAGGAAGCCTACACCAACATTGGGCCCGTCCGGGAGGCTGGGAAGGAGGAGCTCTACTTCATCTACAGCAAACTCAATGTCTTGGCGTCCGAATGGCAGCGGGGGGACACCTACGCCTGCGTGGTGGGGCACGAGGGTCTGCCCATGACCTTCATCCACCGGAGCGTGGACAAAGCCTCCGGTAAACCCACCACCGTCAATGTCTCTGTGATCTTGTCTGACACCGACGTCACTTGCTACTGAGGAGCAAAGCCCCGCGGGCTCCTCACGGCGTATCTGAGATGCCACGGAACCTCGTGGGGTTTGGGATTCCTCTTAGCCTGTGTGTAAAGCTGTGGGAGCTCTGGTGTACAGAGCGTGGCTGTATGTGGAATATGCCCCAATAAAAATGCAACATGCTAGAGTTTATGTTCAATGGGATGTCTTCTTCTAGCAGGGACCGTCTCTATGTCTTATCCACCAGCCCAGCCTCCCTCCTTTATCATCTATATCCATTCACCACCCTACTTTCTGAAGTATCTCTTACTATCCATCCAGTCTCCTTTTCTTATGCATTATCTAGATCTATTCATCAAAGCTTCTGTCTGCAGGATCTGTCCATCCATCCTACCCTCTGCCGTACCTTTGTCTGTTTTTCCCTCTTTACTAGCTGTCCATTTTCCTGCCCACCTGCACTCTCTTTCTCTCTGCACTATGTCTGTTTATCCATATTTCTCTCAGCAATATCTGACATTGTCTGTCCTCCCTTTTGCAATCCCTGCCCATCTCTCCAACATCTGCAGTGTCGTCTGTCTACCTTTGCTTCTACAACATCCATCCATCCATCTGAAATTATGCAATATCCTCTACGCATCCATCCATCCTGATGCAGTGTCATGAGTCTGGCTGCCCATCCCTCGGCAGTGACTTGCTATTGTTCATGATACAGCAGCTCCTAGATGTCCTGACCAAGCTCAGGGCCCCATTGTGATGGGCGCTGCATGAACACACACAGAGCAAACATCCTTAATGCAAGGCGCTCACAGTCTCAGCACAGAGAGGCTGGGAGGGGATATTTTGGCACAAAAGGATTATATCCAGGATGCTTGAAGGGGTGAGACTCCCATCTCCCCCTGAAATTATGAGTTTATTTCAGTGGCACCTAATTTCCTAAGAGTCCTTTAAAGACCCCCGCCCAAATGGCTTGTCTCTGGTCACACTGCAGGTCAGTGGGAGAGGTGGGAATAGAGCCCCGATCCCCCATCTCCAAGACTTGTTGGTTAACCATTGCACCTGTCTAGCAATGCAGCCCTTGCCACTCTGGGGTCAGAACTCCTCGGAGATGCGTCCTCACCTGACCACATAAGGTGCAGAGGCAGAGCCCCCAGGAATCTGGTGTTATGTCTGCAGGGAGCTAGGCGGGAGGGTGAGACTGAGTTAGGAGCCTCCATTCCCACCAGCTCTGTCCCCATTGCCCCTGGATGTGTGAAGAGGGGGGTGGTGATCAGGGGAAGTGATTTCACTTCTGAGTATGGTATCGGGGAGACTGACACCGGACTACAGTGTCCGGTTATGGAGTCTACGTGCAGCAATGGCCAGAAGCAGTACTAGAACAGTGGGAACCATTAGGAAAGAGACAGATAATAAGACAGTAAATACCATATTGCCTCCGTATAAATCCACGGTATGCCCACACCTTGAATACTGCATGGCGTTCTGGTCGCCCCATCACAAAAGAGATATAATAGAAAGAGAAGGTACAGAGAAATGATCAGGGTTATGGAACAACTTCCATATGAGGAGAGATTAAAAAGGCTGGGACTGTTCATCCAAGGAGACAACTAGGGGGAATTTGATAGAGGTCTATACAATCATGACTGGTGTGGAGAAAGTCAATAAGGAAGTGTTATTTACTCCTTCACATAACACAAGAACCAGGGGTCACCCAATGAAATTAAATGGCCGCAGGTTTAAAGCAAACACAAGGAAGTACTTCTTCACACAACACAGAGTCAACCTGTGGAACTTGTTGACTAGGGATGTTGTCAAGTCCAAAAGCATAACTGGGCTCAGAAAAGAATTAGCCAAGATGGTCAGTGATGTAACCTTAGGTTCTTGGTGTCCCTAAGCCTCTTATGGTCAGATGCTGGGATTGTATGACAGTGGATTAATCACTCAATAATTGCCCCATTCTGGCCATTCCATCTGATGCATCTGGTATCTGCCACTGTTGGAAGACAGGATACTGGGGTAGATGGACAATTGGTCCGATGCAGTGTGGCCATTCTTATGTCCACATATTTAAAAAGAAGTTTGAAAAATTGGAGACGATGCAAAAGAGAGCTAGAAAAATGATTAGAGGGCTGGAGAAAATACCTTCCAGTGAAAGATGGGAGGAGACGAATTGGTTGAGCTTATGAAAGAGACATTCAAGAGATGGTTTCATTGATCTGTATAAGTACCTCCATGGCGAGTGACTGGGGTCCCTGGGGGGCCATGTTGAGATTGCCCAATTAGGGCAAATTGCAAAGAATGGGGCAGACAATCCCCCAAACTGGTGGTTATTCTGATAGTTTCACCAAACTAGCAACAAAACAGCTTCTACAATACCTTACTGATTACCCAGAATCCAGAAATACAATTTCCTTAAAGCAACCCAGCCTTGAGCTCCCACCCAGACAGCCAAGTCAAAGATGATGAGGATTACTGAAAATCTTGTTAATCATATAAAAGTTCTGCCAATCCCAAAGGATCAGAGACATTACCCACCAGGTCAATGAATATTTCAGATCTTACCCAAATAGATGCTTACAGCCAATTCTTATTAACTAAACTATAATTTATTAAAAAAGAAAAGAGAGAGAGAGAGTATTGGTTAAAAGATACAGGTAGGAATAGAGTTCTTAGGTCAGTTTCATAGCAGAGATGGTTAGCTTCAGAGTTGCAAAGAGTCCCTTCCAGAACCAGTTTATCAGGTTATAGTCCAATGTCCATGGCCAATATCAGGGTGATCCAGAATAGAATTGGAGACCTCTGTCTTATGATTCAAACGTCCCCTGATGAAGCTTAAGCAGATCTGAAATGAAAGGATCAGGGCCCAAGAATTTTTATGGACCCTGGCAGGCTACTGTCAGCCTCTTGACAGCAGGTGTTCCTTGGGTGAAGGATAGTGTCTTTGAAGTAACTTCCTACTTCCTAAGCATCACCAGTAATTAGCTACATGGATTAACATAAAGCAATTGCCTATCTCCTGCTATTTGAATTTAAGACAGTGATATCACTACATTCACAGTTCATTTAAATGTCATTATCTCCTGTTGATCTCTGAATCAGCAGAATGCAGCGATAGACAGGAACTGTTTGGTTACATTGTCAACCTCTAACAATATATATGTAAACACATAACACCCATAGGCGCTGACTCTGTGGGTGCTCTGGGGCTGCAGCACCCACGGGGAAAAATTAGTGGGTGCTCTGCACCAACCGGCAGCCAAGCTCCTCCCTCCTTGCCTCCTTCTCCCACTCCCCCGAGCATGACATGTCCACACTCCTCCCTCTCCCTCCCAGCTTCTCGCTCCCCCCTGCCACCTAACAGCTGTTTGGCGGTGCTTAGGTCTTTCTGGGAGGGAGGGGTAGGTGCGGGGATGTGTCGCGCTCAGGGAAGGAACCGGAGAAGAGGCGGGGCAGGGGCAGAGACTTGGGGGAAAGGGGTGGAATGGGGGCAGGAAAGGGGGTGGGGCTGGGGTGGGAAAAGGCGGGGTGGGGTGGGGACCTTGGGCAAGGGATGGAATGGGGCTGGGGTGAGGGCGGTGTAGGGGCAGGAAGAGGCGGGGCAGGGGCGGGGCAAGGGGCTGAGGGGAAGTCGGTGCCTATGACAACACCACAAATATTATCTACTAATATGTCTCTAAAGAGAAATATGGGGCACAGCTGGGGAACCATTGAAAGACTTGCCAGAAACAGACAGGAGCAGAGGAGCATTGTCGGTGCCCTACATGTCAGAGGCGTATTGGGAACTGACTAACTATGTCTCTAAAGGTTGAATCTGGGTTAATTAGCCTGCTAGTTGTGCAACCCTTTCTGACCCTGTGTCACAGCGAGAAAATACCAGGCACTAAAGGTGTCTAACTTAGTATAGAAAGGCTTGAGGTGCCCATGGCTGGAAGTTAAATGCAGAGAGATACAAATTAACAGTGAGGCACAACGTCTGGAAGGAAACCATTGGAGCTAACTTCCAGTGGAAGTGATGAAGTCTCCATCTCTTGAGATTTGTACATCCAGCCTGAGGTCTCTTCTGGAAGATATGCTCCCATCAAAGGCAAGTCATTGGGCTCCATAGCGGGGTAGCTGGGTGAGATTCTCTGGCCTGTGGTATACAGGAGGTCAGACTTAATGCAGTAATGGTCCCTTCTGGCCTTAAGATCTACAAATGCACCAGTCAAGGTTTCAGAGCTAGGAAGGTCACGTCAATTATCCACCACCAAACTCTATGGCCCAGGACAAAGAGTGCGCTGGTGGATGAATTAAGTTTTCATGCCGTACATCCGGAGAGCTGAGGTCTCCCACAGTGGCTGTAAACCGAACCCAGAGGGAATCATTGTCTCTGGGCTACGATGTGTCAATACCTGTCCTTTCCCAGCTAACCCGGAGAGGGACTGTAAGCCTGACTGTTTGTCAGAGGCCAGAGCCAAGGTGTGAACTAATTTGAGGAGGCTCCAGGCCATTTCCAGTGGGCGTTCCTGCTGTTGACAAGACACATGGATGGGCTCAGGGAATGCTGGGCTGTGAGTCCTTCCAACTCTTGGGAATAGGTTCCCAATGGAGCCCAGGCTGGTGGTGAGTGAAAGAGGCTCCTACTGAGTGGTATCCCATGTACAATGAGTTGGGAGAGGTCTTTACTCAGTCCCCATGACACAACAATACAGACGGCTCAAGGAATTAGAAATGGGCCATGGAGACGTCTGCCTACAGGGACTGAGGTCACTGCTGTGTGATGGTGGCAGTCGCTCCAAGTGAGAAATCAGTTGGGGGCCACCACTTCTGTTTCCAGCATCCTGACAATATGGGGCAGCTCAGGGTGTTGGTGAAGGGGTGGCCATGCCTTTCCCCCTTTTGTAGGTGTTGCCCAAATGTGGCGATGGACGACAGATCTTCCCCCTTCTCAGAGCACGGGTTGCAATGGAGTCCAAGCGGGTAGTAGCTTAAAAGTTGTTCCCGTCAGATGACCCTGTTATTAGGTGTATGACAGTCGTGTGAAGAGGTCTCCACTGAGTTTGGGACCCCAATGTGCTAGGAGTTGCACACACATAGAGTAAGAGACAGTCTCTGCCCAGAAGAGTTCAATGTCCAAACAGAGAAAGGGTGTGAAGGGAAACTGAGGCACAGAGAGGGGAGGTGAATTGCCTGAGGTCCTG